TTTTAGTATTAGATAGATAGATAGATAGATAGATAGATAGATAGATAGATAGATAGATAGATAGATACATACATACATACATACATACATGCATACATACATTTATAAATATCAATGACAATAGGAAAACTGTAGTTATTGCTGACGCATTCCGTCCAATGTGAACTTTCTCAAAGCAAAAAAACGAAATGAATTTAATTCAAGAAAGTAACTAATAATAACAAAAAACAGAATGTTCTTAGCAACTGGAGGAATGTAGAGAACGCTATTTTCATATTGTTAACTGAAAATAACGTCAGTTATTGTCACGTATGGAGAATATTATCATTATAAGTGTGTTTGCGGATTCAACAATTTTCTTTTCATTTTACGATATTATTGTGTACGTTTGTTTGGGAGAAGCAGTAATTTTGGTAAGAAAGGTGAAATAGGAAAAAACTCTGAGAAATTTTCACATACATACATACATACATATATTAAAGACAAGAGAAGACAGTGGATAGAGTTGTGTCAACCCACTTCGAAGAGTTTCTTATCACCTTACTCATTTTGATAAGCCTGAATTTCTTTTCCGGCTCCCAGGAGAGTGATTTGAGTTTCAAAAATAATTGTTTAATTTGTAAAATAAATTGATAGAAGCCTTCTAAAAATTATGTTCAGAATTATAATCTTCAGTGTGTGTGGGGGGCGGGCGGAGAATGGCTCAATTTTAATTGTTGTTAGAACTTGTTTTTCACCAAGGGAATTCTGTATAGACAAAAATAAATACAATGGCACTATTTACATTATTCGGACTATTTTCCTCATCTTTGTCGCCATTATTATTACAACACATGGCACAGTAGATAAAGTCGTTGGTTAGATCCAGTGACAGGACCCAAAGAGTGTGAGTTCAATACTCGGTTAAGGCAGTGGAGAACTTGGAGAGGTGAATTAAGAGGAGATAACTGACATCCATTAGACATGGCACGTGGAACTAGAACAGTCTACCCCAGTGAGCGAAATAAAGGGTTCAGTTCGACATTCCAACCACCTAAAGAAGGCCGGAGCGTACAACGGCCGAAACGTTGTAATGAATATGGCGACAAAGATGAGGACAATAGTCCGAATAATGTAAATAGTGTCTATAATACTTCATCTCATATATATAGACAGATACTGAAATAGAATGGCAATCGGAAGATATCTGCCAAATACGATGTACGAGAAAGGATTTCACAGCCATATTGGAACGATCTTTCTAACGTTTGAGTACACGTTTCTTTGATAACTATCAAAGAAACGTGTACTCAAACGTTATCCCAATTTTCCCTCATACTTTTCATCAGCTGCTGCTTTCATTTTCTCTTGTTGTTAGCATTCAGTCAGTTAGCTATGTGTCATGCGTGATGCACACTTAGGCGATCATGTATCTTTCGATACATGATTGGCGAGGCAGATTTTTTCCCGCAAGTAGGTTGCCATTTCTTTCTGCGGTAGACCAGTTGCCATCCAAGGCTATAGAACCCGGTCTATCCTGCTATTTACCCATAACTGGGAGGGAGAAGAGAATTCATACCTTTCCCAAGGGTATTAACATACCAGTCAGTCAGCTATGTGCCATGCATGATACACGCTTAGCTAATCATGTATTTTTCAATACATGACTGACGAGGCAGATTTTTTTCCGCAAGCAGGTTGCCATTTCTTTGTGCAGTAGACCAGTTGCCATCCAAGGCTATAGAACCCGGTCTGTTCTGCTATTTACCCAAAGCTGTGGAGTGGGAGAAGAGGAGGTTTCATACCTTTCCCAAGGTTACTAGCACGTAAGTTAATGTAATGGATTCGAATGAAATTCGAACTCGGCTCTCCGATTCCTCAATCCGAGTCGCTAACTTGTTCGATTTAATCTTTTGAATCTCTAAAATGATTTCATAGAAGAACCCACCTAATCATACAACTTACACAGTACAACTTTGTTTGGAAGAAGGCCTCTCTTTTGCATACTTACAGGTAGTTATATACCTTGCTCAACGATCTTTTGCCTTTTAAGTTACATCGTATTTATTTTTCATCCACCATAAAAAGTTTTGTTTAACAAAGGGCATTTAAACACGGTCTAGTGTACCGTAATTTTATTTTGCTTGACTTATGCAGATGCTACACGTTAAGGCCATTAACATAACCATACAGGTGAAAATGATTTTTAGAGCTTCATTTGGATATTTTCAACTCCTGCTCTGTCGTATAATGTTCTCAAAGAATACCTTGATTAATCGTTGGGAACTGCAGCTCATCTCCTCGACCGTTGAACATCGTTGAGCAAAAAGTTTTTAGTATGAAAATTTGCAAGCCACTTTTGATATGTTTGTTTATGTACAGTACTTTATCCATAAACTGCACAATTTTCATTTCCTCTATTTTTCAAGATGTGGGTGATCGGGGCTTACCTCCCCACTACTTTCTGTCTATTGTTTATTTATCTTTAATATCGTCTTCCTTGTTCTGCCATCCAATCTCTCAAACTCATCAAATAAGTTATTCGCTGTTTACCTCTGCGAAAATTCTGTGTTGATAACCAATTGAAAGAATGCTTAAATAAAGTAGGATTATAAAGCAAGAAGAAAGGACTATTTATCGTAAGAAGACAGAATACATAGTCGTCAATAAAAGAGTCAATGATGTCAACTACGTATTTTTTTATCTGCTTGAAGTTCATGGCCCCACGTCAACTTCAAGTAAATAAAAAATGAAACTATATTGGTAAATTTATACTTAACATCAGTTAAGGGTCGTAGGGCACACAATGAGGAAAGAGGACGTCGAAAATCTGATACTCACAGGACAGAGGGACAGTGGAAAACAACGCATACATACTTGAGCTTGAGTAAATGGGTGACAAAAAATAACAGAAAGACAAAGTTTATTAAGAGCTACAAGGCAGAGGAAGTTGTGGAGAGCTATGAGCTTACTTCCTGGAGGGGGACATAAAGAAGAAAAATATTATTTCTTTTAAAGAATGTTTCGGATTTCATTGACCGAACAGCCAGTAGTATTGTCGGTTGAAATTTTTAAACTTTTTCCAGTGAAACAGTTTTTAAGGAAAAAAGTTTTATGGGGTCCACCCCTTTTTCATACAAGTGGACTCGACCAGTGTGAACTTGGACTGCTGCCATTAAATACCCAGAGTCAGAGAGAGAGAGAGAGTGTGAGTGAGTTGGAGGTAGAGTAATAGTGTGAGGTAACCGCTTGTAGAAGTCACAGTCACAAGCATGTAGACTCTAAGGAAGTCCTACTTCGTGACTGGATTTACCAGACTATATATATATATATATATATATATATATATATATATATATATATATATATATATATATATATATATATATATATATATATATTGCTACTAACTGTGTTTCTGGATCTACTAACCATATTACCAATTGTATTATTGTGTAAATACACTTATTTGTTATATTTCATTCCTGCGTTTGTCATTCATTGGAGACTGAATTTCATCTCGGAATCCACAACAAAAAGTTTTCTCGTCCACTCCTTTTTGATGACCTTTTATCAGACTAATCTAAACTTAATAAATATCATTGCTTCTGTAGTAAGTGTAGTCTTACTGGATAACTTACCTCATTTGGCCTTGTACTAGACTAAACTACGGTGAGTAAATATATATTCCATTCCCTTCTCTTTTTCATACATTATTGTTACGCCCGATTTTTTCTTGTCATTATTATTTTCTGTTCAATTTTCCATTTTCTTCACGCTGTCAGTTTTCTGTGCAACCATCTTCTGACATTCATGTCCATTCATCTTCACTTCATTTCCTTCCATTACCATCCTTCTATCATTTTCTTTTTTGTTCATTCATCTGCTGCCTTTTTACTTAACTACTCCCTCATCTTTCTTTTTTTTTCCTCAACCCTTGTTTTCTGCTTCCTTTCTTTCTTTCAAATTCAGCCATTTGCCACATTGCATTTTTCTCTTCCTCTTTTTCTCTACGCATCTTCTATTTCTCGCATTTCCGTCTCTCTGTTTCTCAGTCCGTCTTTCGCACCTATTCTTTTTCCTTTTCTCAACTCTTTCTTCCTTCCCTCTCTTTCATAAGTCTTTGCCCTCTTTTTTTTTCCCTATTTTCCGCCCATTCTCAGCTTTCCTTATATCACTGTGACCTCAAAATATTTTATCACTCTCTATTTCTCTCTCGGTCTTTTCATTTCTCTCAATTTCTTAACTCTTTCTTTACTAAGAATTCTTTCTTTTTGTTTGTTTGTTTCTTTCTTTCTTTCTCCATGCGTTATTTCCTTTTCTTCTACTTTCTTTTCTTTCTCAACGGTTTTCTCTCTCTCTTTACTGCTTTTCTCTCTTTCTAAATCCTTTCCCTCTTCCTTTCCCTCTCCCTCTCCCTCTATCTCTCTGTTCCGTCTCTTATCTTGTGCTGTCTTTCTTACTTCACTTCCCACCTTTTCTGAAATACTCTACTTTCTTAGCGCACTTTCTCTCTCTTTACGACATCTTTTTCAATACTTCATCATTTCCTTCTCTTCTCTCTCTTCTCTCTCTCTCTCTCTCTCTCTTAATTCTTTCTTCTTTTCATGTCTTTCTCTCCCCTTTTTTATTTTCTCCTTATCAAACTTTCCCTCTCTTTCTTAATTCTACTTTCTGTTTCTCACTCTCTCTTTATATATATATATATATATATATATATAATCAAATCTTTCCATTCTTTCTCTAACCTCACTCTCTCTCACACTCACCCTCTCTCATTGTTGTCTCTTTGTTTTTTCTTCTATAATCGATTTTCACTTCCTTCTCCCCTTAAATGTCTCCTTCTCTTCTTTTCTGTCCGTTGCGGTCTTTTTCCCCACCCCGAACCTAATAAACCACTAAATGCAACCCACACACAAAACACGGAGGACATATTGGAATATTATACACCTGCCATTCATTGAATTGAAAAATATGTCCCCCAAGGCTCCCCAAAGCCATATCATTGTTATTTCGACAAAGCTGATCACATTGGTAATTAAATGAACATGGACACAATTCCTATCGACTGGCCGATTGCATCATGATATCTCTTGGAGATTTCCTGATTCGTTCATTCCAAGATCACTAGTTCGGTGTTGGCGTGTACTTAATCCCAGAACAACAAAAATATAATAAAATTGTTGCTATTTAAATCAGAAAATCGTTTTTCCTTATATAGAGACTTTACTAATAGGAAAACTTAGTTCCCTACAGATACAACTCATTTGCAATATATACGAATAGAGTTGGATGAGAATCCCACAGACATGACGATTGCGTTTATCATGAAGCAGACTGTCACCAGTGGTTGTCGACAATAATGTCCAATTTTATATATATATATATATATATATATATATATATATATATTATAATTAATTTTTTTTTAAATACTTCCATCGCGAGACAGAAACGTCTATTTCGAAACCGAAGCTAAAATCTTAAAATTTAACTTTAAGCAATGCTAAGAATAACTAGTTATTCTTAGTATCGCTTGTGAATGGAACCGAGCTCTGAATTTAAAGTTTGAAATTTAAAGTTAAAGTTTAAGATCTGAACTTCGATTTCGAAACAGAGTAATTTCTGTCTCGCGATGGAGGCATATTTAAAAGAAATAATTATAATATTATGCTCTACTTTGTATCTAGCACTGTTTTTGAAGAACTCTGGATTATAAATCTGACAGTTCTTCCTTTTATTTGAATACTTATATATATATATATATATATATATCTATATATATATATATATAGAGAGAGAGAGAGAGGGAGGCAGACAGACAGAGAAAGAGAGAGGATAGAGAAAGATAATGAATAGGTAAATAAAAGTTCAGTATGTATAATTCAATAAATAAATAAAAACTGATTTTGAATTTCTTAAAAACTATTTTCTATAGCTGTACATATTAAATGGAAATTTTACCGCTTCGTGTAATTCTCGTTAAGCGGATGAAAAAGAATTTTATTTTCAAGATTTCCATGATGACACCGGAAAATCTGTCGGGTAAGCATGTCAAAGTAAATCTATTCAAAAATGTCCTATTATGTCGATTTTAATAATGTCCACTTTTATATTTGATACTTGCATACGATTAAATATAGCATACCTTAAAAGTATATTTTATCATATATATATATATATATATATGGATAAAGACAAAAGGAAAACTTTTCTTAGCCGACGCGTTTCGTCCACTGAGGGAATGTATCAATGCAAGTCCGTCAGGGGACGAAATGCACCGGTTAAATTTTCCTTTTGTCTTTATTTATATTTTACTTCATTTATCTTTTCCTTTTATAGATATACTCTAACTGAAATTTTAACATACACTCTCTCTCTCTCTCTCTCTCTCTCACACACACACACACACACACACACATATATATATATATATATATATATATATATATATATATATATATATGAAATTGTGTATTTAGGCAACAATCAGCAATCCCTCTTTTATATATGATTCGTTAAAGACCACTGACAAGGTACTGCGATTAGGCATTTTATTTAATTTTTGTTGTGTTCGTACACGTGTTTTCTTTTCTGGACACAATGTGTGTAAAAACTGTTCAAAAGTTCTGTATATCCGAGTGCTCTCGTCTATACTTTTAGCCATTACCAAGAGCAATTGTATTTTTTTTTAAACTTTTAACTAAAGTTTTAGTAATGTTTTACTTTCCGAACACAGTCAACACATTGTGGCCGTGTTCATAGTTAATTTTTACCGAGTGCTGACCTTTCCTTTTTTTATTACTGAGGCTTTTTTAAATCATTTTTTTACATGTGCTATGGCTATTATAGTTGTATTTTATACTAGTATGTTTCGGGTGGAGTCTGATATGATTTTGTGTGTGTTTAAATGAGTACTAATAGAGCTGTGTTCGGGTAGGTGTAACGTAAGTCGTCTAGATAGGAATGTTGTAGTGTGACCAATGTAATCATGAGTTTGGTTTAATCAGGGAGACATTTTCTTAAGCGACATTTGAACTCGTAAATAATTTTGGTTCTTTGTAGTTTTGATTTTGCTAGCGTGTTGTTATTTTGATGATATACTTAGCTGTTTAAAATTTTTTGTAATAGATATTTTAATTTTCTTGTTTAGGGCGATTGGGGTTATGTATTTCTTTATGATATATTAAGAAAAAATTCATCTTGTTTATAGTTGACATGTATTTGGCTTTTGTAGATATTAACGTTATTGTATTTATCTGTATGTTTAGTATCATTATTAGTTAATTTAGGAAGAAATAGTATAATCTGGTGGTCGATAATGTAGTTAGGAAAACCGTTGTTAACTAGAATCTGTTTTACATTACTGTGTTCTTTAACGAAAAGTGGACGAGAGGATGAATTCTCTTGAGCTCTCTTTAATATATATTTTATATATATATATATATATATATATATATATATATATATATATATATATATATATATAGGTAACATGAGGGCGAATAGAGTACGATTCCAACGTTTGTAAGATTAATTTAAAAGAGGGCTCAATACAGACTGGTGCGAAATATTACCCCCTCCGTTTTTATTTCTTGGGAAAGTTGATTGTCTAATTTGTATACACTTTACAAATTAACGTAACTATCTGTATCAGTTTCCATCTAATGTCTACGATCTGTTTGCAGAAAACTTCCAGTCATGACCCATTTCTAAAATTTTCTCGAAAACGTGTGGCAGCGAATACTGGACAATCTCATCAAAGATTAAGAAGAGAATTGAAACAAAAGAAATGTGGTTCTACAGAAGGACGCTAAAGATACCATGGGCCGAACATATATGGAACGACGAGGTTGTAGAGAGAATGGAATCAAAGAGAAAACTTATACTTAACATCAAGAGGAGGCAGTTGAAATTTTGGAGATAATGAAGAAGGGCTTGGAAAATCTGATACACACATGACGGATATAGGGGCAGGGGAAAGCATTGCGTGATGTATTTAATGGGTTTTAGCAAATGGATAGCAGAACAAGGTCTGGCAGAAATACGATCGCCTACGTCCTGAAGGGACACAGCACATAAAAGAAGAAAAACAGGCCAATTTGCATATACTGTTTTTCCCTGGTGAAATTAGTCTATCATTGAAATACGTTCCGCATCTAAAAGAAACCATGTCCCTGACTTCCATGACTGAATTTTGGATCTTGAATTGCTCCAGCCCTGGGGAACTTGGTTAATGCCACTATATAGACGATTGTCTCCGAATCATAGAAATGTAACGATATTTCATCAAAAGTGACAGGTCGTTCCAAAAAAAAAGTCTCGCGAGATCGCTAGAAATGCTGCGAGATAGATGCGGAGGTGTCCAATCGTTACCGTTTGTCGTCGGCATTCATACTTTTTGGCACCCAATTGGCTGACAGTTTCCGCATATCTAACGACTCATGAATTATAAACCTAATGCATTTCCTGGATATCTCACGTGTTTCGGCAATTCTTTCGGCTGCGATTCGTTGATCGACCAAAATTAAGTTATGAATATGATCAACTATTTCAGGAGTTGTCACCGTTCAAGGCATTCCGGGCTATGTTTCATCTTGGATCTCAAAATCTACAAGCTGCAAGTTGGCACGTCATTAAGTTGAGGACGGTGGGCATTAGTCACCTGATTTTTGCATAATACACACAAGGATTTCATTTGGTCTTTTCTTCTGCCGAAACAATGATTTTCATGGTTGGTTCACGCTTGAAAATCCCACACAAATCCATTGCTCAATGATCACAAAAATAAGCATTGGAATCATGCAGATTGATTACACAACAGAACACTAACACCAAAAAATAATACAAAATCAAAATATTAACCAAAGAATTCGAGCCCATCCCCTTTTGAGCCAGACTCTTATATACATGCCATGCAACTCGAATCTTTCTAAAAATATTTTCATCATAGTTGTTCGGATGAGCTACCTAGATTTTATGAATTTAAACGCAGTACTAGATTGGCAGTTAGGTTTGGTTTGGTTGATTATGTTTAGTAGCACATTAAAGTCTATCCGTTATTTAATGCCGGAATGTAAATATTTTGAACAAAATTTTATGCTTTCAGCTACAGATAAAATGTATTGTTGGTCAATTTGCTATAAAATATATTGTTGGCAATTCTACTATAAAATTAATTCCTGGTCATTTTGATATAAATAGGTATTGTTGGTCGTTTTACGATAAGTAGGTATAATTTTCTATAAATAGGTGTTGTGAATTTTAATATAAAAATGTATTTTTATATTTGTACAATGTTTTGTTTTTTGTTTGGCCGTTCAAAGCTGGGACCCGAACAGGAGCTACCACCCTGGGTCAGGGCAGATCCTCAAAACCTCCAATCTCCCCATCAGAGGCCGTGTGGCAGCTAAGTCTCATCATCTTATAGCCGTGAATTCTATGCTAACAGTTTCTTTTCTCGCACTTCTCAGTTAAGAAATTCTCTCCCGGCTTCTTGCTTTCCAGCCAATATCTAAAATTTAAATGCAATGTCAATCGTTATCTTCCGTCTTCTTAATTCCTGTTCTTTTATCTTCCTCTCTCCTTAATAATGTCATCTTTTTTCTCATATTCTCTCACATTCCCTTGCATCTTAGTGATTTATTGCCTTGCTTGGGGTGAAG